CAATTTTTAGAGTTTGAATTAATTTTCTGCTGATAATTGGATCATTTATGGGCTAATAATGGGATAATTTTCCGGAAAATATCTCCAAGTGGCTCTTGCCATAGGTGAACCTTTTTATTTTAAATAATAAAATGGTTGAAATGTAACTATAGTTCAAAGATAAGAAAATGATTTTTTTTTTGCGTCTAAGCATCTTTCTGCCTTCATTAATTGAAGGCTAATCAATTATACATCTCAGAAGAACTCCAATTTGTCGCAGACCCTTCGAAGAGTCAGTAATACGTCATGGGTGTTCAAGAAGCACTAATGGCAGTTACCCCCAAATTCTGTGCATGCCTTTGGGGGGTCACATGACCCCAAGGTCACATGTGACCCCCGGTCGCAAATGCCTCAGGTTCCTTCCGCCAGACGGAGCGCGATACATCGCAGGGATTTCCCGCTCGGGATGAAATTTAATATTCGGATCCGAGATTTTTTGCTAGTTGAATGCTAGTTTAGGAAACATGAGTAACGTGTTTGAGAGATGATTAAACAATGGCTAATGAACTTCAATTGCTGTTTTTTTCTCACAGGTGACATTTCCGGAGTTACTTGCCAAGCAATCTCATAAGTGATCACAAGAAATGGGTGACGCTCTCGAGCATGCCAGGAATTCTGTGAAGGGATGCGATTTCGGAATGGAGAATCTGCAAGAGGCGAAATTTTCTTTTTCGCTTCTCGCGCCTTCAGTTGCATCGTCCCAACTCCCAAATCGATAAATTCAAGGAGGAAAATTCCGCCTTCCAGGCATTCTTCCCGTGCAATCTGCGTTCCCAAAGGTTCATCGAAGCTCAACCAGACATCGCATCGCAGCTGTCAAGGCTGTTTTCCATCTTACCAGGGACATTTCCTGATATTTTCAGGCGATTGGACAATTAAATTTTTCAATAACTGTGCGCTGAAGCGACCGAGTTTAGACGACGTTTATAAGATCGTTCCAAGCAACGCAAACATGCTAGGTAAGAAGCTAAATCGGTGCAGAATGGAGCCTCATCTTGCTGGTAGGAGCTTCATCTAGCTGGTAGGAGCTTCATCTTGCTGGTAGGAGCCTGATCTTGCTGGTAGGAGCTTCATGCTATTGTGTGATGGGAAATTTCATGCCTCAAATGATGCAGATAGGGTCAATTTTGGGGAATAAATTCTGCGAATCCCTTCTGGGAACGAAGCAGCCACGGAGCCCGTAGGCACTGTACCCGGCCGAGAAAAAATTAGGAAGGGGCGATCTCATCCAGGCTTTCAAGATAATTAAAGGAAAAGATAATGCAGAACGTTCCAGTTCGATGGCAGCAAGAGAACGAGAGGTACTCAACTCGAAACAGCGAAAACCGCAGGTGCGACAAATCAAAAAGGGGGGCAATGTAGACGAAAGGGACTATGCTGTAAGCGACTAAGATTTGCTAAAAAAAATGACAAAAACTCTAATATATTTAGTTTTAAGAGAAGTAGGCCAATCGTTAAATGAATGAACGGTCGTCCTCGACACGTGGTATCCAAATGAGCGTTATCGCCTCCTGATACACCTGTCCGACCTTGATACCTTGAGATGGAATCGTGTTTTCACTATCTTTTTCGGCAATGTAAAGTTTGGAGTATTCCAAGGCGGATCTAGCGGGTTCCATTTCTCTTTCGTCAATATACAATATGCGAAAAGCCAGTAAAGAAACACAACCAGTGACTTCAACTGACCTCCACAGGGACATCTCCAGCGATTTTGAAGGATGTCTGGAAGAGGAGAGCGAACTTCTTGTCCATCACCACACATTCGTTTCCCTTCTTCTCAGTTCGCTTGATCTTACGCAGTTGCATGCATCTGTATAGAAATCACAATTCAGTCAAGCTCAAAAAGCTGCAGACGAGAGGGAAGGTCTCACCTGAAGGAGGCAGTGAGCTGGCGGCCACTCGGGTGGTACTCTATGGTTCCCTTATTGTTGAGGATCTCTCCGCAGGTGTCGATGCGGGAAGTTTGGGAGTTATCTCGTTGGTAGAGTTGTCTCGCCTGTGCCTCGCTGACGATGCTCGCCGTCACCTGGATTGGGTGGAATG